TGTTTCGACAACTGCCTCCGCAGGGGTAGGCTCCCTCAATTCCCAGTGCGATTCGTGTTTGCAACTACCACTAGGGGCGAGCTGCCGCCCGTTTCCTTGTTTGCAGCTGCCCACACGGGCGAGCTGCCGCCCAGCCTTCCTGTCTGGTGCCACGTTGTCGGTCTGGAAGAAAGATGGGTCCCAAACCGCTCGGGCACCGATCGCCTGGGCCTCGGTCTCCGCAACCTCGAGGTCAGCGTGCCGGGTACGCTTACGAGTACACTATAAACAAGCAGTGCCGATACCGTTGGACGTGGAATGGCAAAGGCGAGTGCTTCTCCTGTGGCAAACCCTTCGCCCCGTCCCGAAGCAGAGCATCGGCGGCCCGAAGGTGCGTGGGCGGCCGAGCCATGGTGCACCCGATCGCCGCCAGCAAAGAAGGACCTGGCCCCCGAACCCCCATCGAAGGACAGCACCCTCGACGCCCTCACCTCGCTCCTCGCAGAGGACGCGACGCATCAGGGACTGGTCGGCAAACTCAAGCAAGCATTACAAGAACCAGAGCAGCCACCATTAGCGCGCACCGCAGAGCAGGCGCTGCAGTCGGCCCTCTCCGTCCTCGCGGACCGCGAGCGCAAGTTCCATCATACCGTGGGCGACGTCGAGGAGGCGCAGCGGTGGCTTGACACGCCAAGGAACGCCAGGAGCAAGCTGCTCTCAAGCTGGTCAAGGCCAAGCGCGCTTGCGAGCAAGCGCGTGAGGAACGACGCCGTAAACTGGGAGGAGCTGCAGCGCCTCGCGAACCACAGCCAGCCATCGAGCTCTTCCGCATCGACACCTCGATATGGGACGACCTCGGGAAGTACGACGACGCCACCAGGATACATATGGAGCAGTGGAAGCAGGACCTGGATGACCGCATCAGGGCCCTCAACGAAGGTCAGGACTACGTTCGCAACATCATCCGCAAGGCCAAGGAGTCTCCGAGAACCCTGCCAAGCGCAAGCGGTGCGCTGAACAAGAGCTTGAAGGACCTTCCTCTCCTCAGCAGCAACCTGGTGCTGTCTCTGGCGCAGCCCCCGCCGCTCCTCCAGCCGAAGCCGCTGCAGGAGCACCTGCCGCCAGCTCTGGGTCCAGCCTACTGGGGAACTACCAGCCGAACCCGCAGTCGCGGAGCCCTCCACCGCCGATCGAGAAGCCGCCGCTGCCCTCATCGCGGGCTCTGTCGCCAAGGCCAAGCAGATGGCCACCGTGGCGACCAAAGGCAAGGGCAAGACCGCAGGCGCAGACGCACCTGCGGGCTTTCAATGCGGGTATCCCCCCAAAGGACAGGGACTAGGACGGCGCAGAGGACTCCATCAGCAAGGCGCAGATCCTCTTCGGCAGCGTTGCGCTGCATGCTCTCGGTGGAACGCCGTTGCTTGCAGGATCCTGCAGGGCCAGGGTCGCATTGGCCCGGGCTTGAGTGCAGGATCCTGAAAGGTCCTGCAAAATCTTGCAGGATCCTGCAAAGCGTGACTGGCCAAGGTCTGGATTGACCAGGGTCAGGGGGCCCCCGATGCTCTGGGCTTCGGAAGTACGTCTTCCGTCGGGCCGCGCCAAGCTCGAAAAATAATCGTGGAAACCGTCCGAGAAGCCATCCGCTTGCATTTCATTCCCAGGTCCCCGCGCTTCGCGGTTGTCGCTGCGGCTTGCTTCTTCCCTAGTTGACGTCGCCGGACCGATTTGGGGCATCTTGGGGCTACCGGAAGGTCTTGGTTTGGTGTGATCGGGGCACGGGCTCCCTTTGGTGCTGTCTTTTTCTGCCGGCCAGCGCGAGCGCGATGTCCCTCAGTTGCTCCAGCAATTCTGTCCGCAGTGATTCCAGCCCCGAGTGTTCGTTTCCAGCACCGCCGCGGTGTCGACCCAGCGCAGGTCTTCAGGTGGAACGCCGCCTGCGGCCTGGACTCTGCCGATGCTTAGCGACCTGCGTTTTCGGAGGGCTGCGATCCTTCGGCTTGGCATCGCTCGGGCGTGTACATTTATACCCACATCCTGAGTGGGGTTCTTGTTTTTCCAGAACATCCTCTCCTTCTCCCTCCCGCCTCCCGCCTCCCTTCCCGCCCCATCCAGGGAAGCCCCGCCTGAGCGAGGAGGATCTCGGAAACTCATATTATTTACATGGTTTCGTGCCCCTCCCATCCCTCCAGGGAGGCCCCGCCTGAGCGAGGAGGGTATCGAAACCCATACTCTTTACATTGTTTCGTGCCCTTCCCACCCTCCAGGGAGGCCCCGTCTGAGCGAGGAGGGTCTCGGAAACCCATACTCTTTACACGGTTTCGTGCCCCTCCCTCCCCTCCAGGGTGGCCCCGCCTGAGCGAGGAGGATATCGGAAACCCATACTCTTTACATGGTTTCGTGCCCTTCCCACCTCTCCAGGGAGGCCCCGCCTGAGCGAGGAGGGTATCGGAAACCCATACTCTTTACATGGCTTCGTACCCCTTTTCCACCTCTCCAGGGAGGCCCCGCCTGAGCGCGGAGGGTATCGGAAACCAATACTATTTACATGGTTTCGTGCCCCTCCCTCCCCTCCGGGGTGGCCCCGCCTGAGCGAGGAGGGTATCGGAAACCAATACTATTTACATGGTTTCCTGCCCCTTCCACCCCTCCAGGGAGGCCCCGCCTGAGCGAGGAGGGTATCGGAAACCCATACTCTTTACATGGTTTCGTGCTCTTTCCACCCCTCCAAGGAGGCCCCGCCTGAGCGAGGAGGGTATCGGAAACCCATATTATTGACATGGTGTCGTGCCCCTCCCATCCCTCCAGGGTGGCCCCGCCTGAGCGAGGAGGGTATCGGAAACCCATACAATGTTCATGGTTTCGTGCCCTTCCCACCTTTCCAGGGAGGCCCGACCTCTCCAGCTTCTCCTTCGTGTTGATGTTGTCGTACCCAATGGGTCCCACGAAACCGTTCATATCTTTATGTGGGGAACTCCATTCGCATAATTTCCCGGCGAGATCCATCGAGGACCATCCTGGACCATCGAGCAAAACAGAACACCTACGAAACCGAAACATGCACGGGAAAAGGACGTCCGAGCGACGGCAAGTCGGGGCTGAGCGGAGCCGAGCGGCGTCGGAAGCCGTCGCCGAAGCCACCGCGACGCGAGCCCGCCGCACCGTGCTGTTGGCCGAGCCTACGGGGCGGGCCCTTCCCTCCTCTGTGGACTTCGGCTCCTGGCAGCAGCTGCAGCCGTGATGCGCCCTTGGATGTCGTCGGGGCGAGCTCACCCGCGTCGGTGTTCCGTTCGTGCGGGGGTCCCTCCCTCGCCTCCCTCCCTCCCGCGCCTCCCTTCTCCGCGCCGGGCCCCATCATTGTTCGTGGGGCGGAGGGCGAGGCGCGAGGCGCGGGCGCGGGGGGGAAGGTGCTGCACTTATCCCATGATATGCAGCCGCAAGGGCTCCCTCGAGGGCGCGAAGTTATTCGCGCTTCGCGCTTCGCGGTCCTCGTTCCTCCTCCCCCTCCTCCTCGTCCTCCTCTTCTCCTCCTTGGGGGGCGGCGCGAGAGCGCGAAGTTATTCGCGCTTCGCGCAGCGCGAAGCGCGAACTTAGGAGCCCTTGCAGCCGAGGCCCCGCCACAGCATGTTCTTTTGCTCTCGTTGCGGGTGCGTCGCCGCCGTCGATCCCCGCAACCTCGTCGGGGCGTGCTGGTGTCAGACCCGCAAGGGCCGCGAGAACCTGTCGGCAACGCGCAGAGGGGGGGAGGGGGAGGGGGGAAGGCTTCTTAGAAGCACCCCTGCTTCTTAGAAGGCGCGGGCCTTCTCTATAGACGTAAGGCCGAGGCCTTCTAAGAAGCAGGGTGCTTCTAAGAAGCCTTCCCCCCTCCCCCTGCCCCCTTTTGCGCGCCGCCAAACCTGGCGCGGGCCCAGAGGGGACGGCACCCCCGTCGGCCGGTCTCAGTGACTCGGTGACGGCTGCGGCCTGCGACGAGGGCAGGGCCGGCGCGAGGAGGCTGTCCTCCGCCCTGGGCGTTCTTCGGTTGTTTCCCAGGTAGGCCCCCACCGACTGTGGGGGCCAGGAAACCCCGAAGAAATTCCAGCGCCGAGCCCCCTGCCTTCCGTCCAGTCCCTCCCGCCAGCGCCCGCCCGCTCCGTCTGGCCCCTCCGTCCTCCTCTCCCCCCTCTCCCTATCCTCGCACCCTCCCCTTAAGCTCCTCTCTGGGAGAAGCATGGAGCCCCCTAGGACTACGAGAGGAGCAGGAGGAGGAGGAGGAGGTGGAGGTGGAGGAGGAGGAGGAGGAGGAGGAGATGGAGGAGGAGGAGGAGGAGGAGGAGGAGGAGGAGGAGGAGGAGGAGGAGGGGGCGCAACCAAAAGGGGTCGCTGACCTTACGGAGAGCCTTGGGATCTCTCAGCTCCCTCTTTCCTTTCCCCCTCTTAGCCACCCCAACTCTCGGGGACGTCAACTGAGCGACGAAGGAAAACATATTCGATTTTACCAATATTACACATATTGGTGCGTAAGCTGCCCGCGTGAGGTCGCGCATCAGCGCCTTCGTTTCCGATGTGGTGTGCCGCGCTGGCGGCCCCGCGTAAGCCGCGGCGTAAGGTCGCTATGCCATCTCGCCTAAGGCCCCTGTCCTACCGTCGCCCAACTGACCACCTCACCGATCCTGGCCGGGTTGACTGCTGGACCCAGGATGCGTGCTTGTGCCTTGGCACAAGCATCAACTGTCGGGGACTCTCGCGGATTTCTTGGATTGGCGCTGGAGCCCCCCGTCGGCGCCTCCGGCGCTGGTCCTGGTGCCCTTCACGCGCCAATAAAGGGGTTCCAGCACAGATCCTAGAAATCAGTGCGGACCTCCGAAAGTTTATGTTTTGTTTATTATGTTTGTGGGTTCTTTTGATTCGTTCTTGTCAATGTTTGCCGATTCGTTGGCGCAGCCGACTTTGAACCAGTACCTGCCGATTCGACGTTCGCGGCGATGCGGGGTTTGATGTATCGATTTGATTTGGGATGGTGGAGCGGCGCGGTGGGCCGCCAGGAGAACTTCTGCTTCGACTCCGTGGCCAGCCGGGGGCGATGCAGAAGGGTGGCCCCACTTCTTCTTCTTCTCCTCCTCCTCCTCCTCCTCCTCCTCCTCTTCCTCCTCCTCCTCTTTTGTTTCTTCTCCTCCGCCTCCTCCTCCTCCGCCGCCTCCTCCTCCTCCTCTCTTGTTTCTTCTTCTCCTCCGCCTCCTCCTCCTCCTCCTCCTCCTCCTCCTCCCCTCCCTCTCAAGCGCATTCTGGCTCAGGTTTTCCACCTGGTCTGTCTCACCTTGTGCTGGACCATTCGTGTGCTCGCTTGAGCGCCGCCCGCGAGGCGGTGAAAGCAAGGTATCATCATTCCATCGCCAGCGCCATGGTGCCGCCTCCGCCTGCTCCTCCCGCTGGTATTCCTGGCGGCGCGGGGTGGGCAGCCTCCTCTGGGCAACCCGACGGCACGGGCTCGTCTGCAGGCCAAGGGAACAAGGGCTGGACGCAATGGCACTGGCACCAGCACCAGCGTGGCCCACCATGGCGATGCATATCATGTGGGTGCAAGAAGAACGAGGCCAGCTGGTGGCTCTGCAAGCAGTGCAAGACCCCACGACCTCACTTTGAAGCCCAGCAGCCTCCTATCGCAGGCGGAGTTTGGGCTCAAGGCCAAGGAGGTCATCAGCCAGCTGGACAGCCACTTCCTCTTCGTGCTGGACCTCAGTTTATGGCTCAGCAGCCAGTGGCAGTGGAACAGACGGAACCGACCATTGCGGAGCTGGAGAAGCTCATTCGTTTATTCGAGAAGTGCGGGGACGTGCATGGGGGCAGCCAAGCAGAAGGAGGCCCTCGCCACCCGCAAGAAAGCTATGGAAGTGGAGGTGCCCCTCAGTCAGCAAGTCAACAGAGCATTTCAAGATCTTCGGAGCTGCAGGGGCCGCTGTGGCGAGGCGTGCTTTCATTATGAACGATTGGCTGCAGAGCTGCTCTCTGCGCAACAATCTAAGGTACGTGAATGCTCGGAAGCTTTGGCTCATGCAGAACAGAAGCATCAGGACTTGATCGCTAAGCTCAACGCCTCGGTTTGCAAGAAGCCCAGCAGGCTTGAGATCAAGGACGTCCTGGAGTGCAACTATCAGGACATACCGATCAGCGTTGATTCGTTGGTCGACCCCACCTCTGAAAACCATGCGATTTCGCAGCAGGAAAAAGATGATATCGACAACAGAGTTGCCAAGCTCAAGGAAACCCTTCAGCAGTCTATCAAGGACCTCCTGGGTGGCGTGGCTGAGCACTTCAAACTGTTCCAGGCGCAGCATGCCCAGGAGGTCAAGCGCGTGCGGGCAAACGTCGCTGTGTGCGTGAGGGTGAACAGCCACCAGCCGACGGTCCTGCTGTTGAACAGGAGGCGGATTCTCCCGAGGGCACCGCCGGTGGCGCAGCGGCGCCCCAGGCTGCCCAGCAGCCTGCGGCTCAGGTGCCTGCTGCTCCTCCTTCTCCTCCTCCTCCTTCTCCTCCTCCTCTTCCTCCTCCTCCTCCTCTTCCTCCCCTCCTCCTCCTCCTCCTCCTCATCTTCTTCTCCCCCCCCCCTCCCCCCGCGCCCATCGCTCGCGCCGGGCCCGGCCGCGCCGGCGCGGCCCGGTCGCGCCGAAGCGTTTCATCGTCGGCCTGGCCGCGCTGGCGCGCCATTGTTTATTGTTGGGCCCGGCGGCGCTGGCGCGTTTCGCAAGTCGGGTTGGGGCCGCGCCAGCGCGTTTTTCACACTGCCGGCCGCGCCGGCCCTGGCGGACCCCGCGGCCGCCGGAGGCCCCCTCCGGCAAGCCGCCGGCGGGCCCGGGGGGGCATTGGGGTGTGTCGCGTGCAAAACCGCGCCGCGACCGTCGCCGTGGCGTCGCGTGCAGAACCCGCGCGGTATTCCTTGTTGGTTTACTGGCGCGCGGGGCCGTGGTTTGATTCGGCGCGTCGCCGCCGCGGGTTCGACGTTACCCATCCTGTGCGCGCGTTCCCGTCGCTTCGGGAGCTAAGCGGAAACTACTTCTAGCTATCTCGGAAAGCTATTTCTTCCCTGGTTTTCCCAATCTCGTCTTGCTGTCTTGATCCCCAGGTGTCTAAGGCCATCCGGTGTCACAACACCACTACCACCGCCACCACTACCGCCACCGCCGCTTCAACCTGCAACCACCGCCACCGACCCGCCGCGCAACCACCGCCACCACCGCAGCCACCACCGCCACCACAACCATCACCGCCGCAACTCACCATCACAACCACCACAAAAAACCCACTACCACTACCGCCGCCGCCACAATCTACCACGCCACCGCCGCCGCCATAACCGCTACCACTAATTACCAGCAGCACAACCCACCACAACCGCCACAAACCACCACACCACCACCAAAACCACCACCACCACCACCAGCGCCACCTTCACAAACCACCGCCACACCACCCACCACCGCCACCACCACCACAACCACAACGCACCACCGCCAAACCGCCACCACCACCACCGCCACCGCCACAACCCACCACCGCCACCACCACCACCACAGACCACCACCACACAGCCGCCGAACCATCACCGCCACCACCGCTCCCACCACCACCACCGCCACCACCCACCACCGCAACCACCACCACCGCAACAAACCACCACACCACCGCCGCCGCCACAACCGCCATCGCAACCCGCCACCATCACCGCCGCCCACCACCGCCGCCACCGCCGTCGTCCACGTCGACGCTCCCCGCCGCCGCCGCCCGCCGCCGGCCCAAAAGACGAAATCGCCGTCCCCGCCGCCGCCGCCAGCCGCCCGCCGGTGCAGGCGCCAGCCCGAAGAGAGAGGAGAGGAGGGAGGGGGGTGGGGCCCGGTGCCAACCCCTTCCCTCCAAGCGACCACAAAACGAGCTCTTTCCTATTACTACCGCTACTACTACTACTACTACTACTACTACTACTACTACTACTACTACTATTACTACTACTGCTACTACTACTACTACTACTACTACGACTACTACTACATACTACTACTACACTACTACTACGACTACGACTACGATACGACTACGACTACTACTACCA